TGTTTTGGTTGCTGCTGACTCAGTGGAGAGAGATTCCCACTCTGGTCTGTCCCCTCCATTCTCCTTAGCTCTGACAATAGGTCCAATCGTAGGATCACCCAACTGTTTCTCCCTCAGTTCCTTCAGCGTCCATTTTGGTGAGAGACTTATCATTCGGGTCCCACGATCTGCATTCACCCCTGACGTCGGTACGTTTTGTTGGCCTTGACTTTTCCCTTCTGTCTCCTCCTGTCTTCCCTCGTTCCGAGGATCGCCAATTGCCGAATCTTCTGGGCAACTAATTCTAGGCATCTCCACCTGGTCCTTTTCGTTCTGCTCCATACCTCTTCCGCACTGCTTACATGGCATGCGGGAGAGTGCATCGGCATTCTGGTGGACTCGACCTGGCCGATGTTGGATCGTGAAGTCGTACTCACTCAAGATCTCCATCCATCTAGCCAGTTGTCCTTCTGGGTCACGGAAGTTTAGCAACCATCTCAAGGCTCCATGATCGGTTCTGATTACAAAGTGTCGACCATACAGGTAATGCCGGAAGTGCTTGACAAATGTCACAACGGCCAGGAGTTCTCGCCTCGTGACGCAGTAATTCCTTTCTGGCTTTGACATAGTGCGGCTGGCATATGCAACGACTTTCTCCACACCATCATGTTTTTGGGATAGCACAGCTCCCAGGCCTGTGCTACTGGCATCCGTGTCTAGTACAAACTCTCCTCCTTCTTCGGGGTAGACTAGTATGGGTGCTGATGTCAACTGTGTCTTCAGAGTGCGGAAAGCAACCTCGCAGTCCTCTGTCCACAGAAACATCCGGTTCTTTTCCATAAGTCGGTGCAATGGTTGGGCAATCTTGGCAAACCCTTGAATGAACCGTCGGTAGTAAGAAGCCAATCCAATGAAACTCCTTACATCTTTGGTGGACCGAGGTGTTGGCCATTCCTCCACAACTCTCACTTTCTCGGGGTCCGTGGCTACGCCCTCACTAGATATCACATGTCCCAGGTAGGCTACCGATTGTTTGAAGAGGCTACATTTCTTCGGCTTTAGTTTGAGGTTGGCCTGTCTCAGCCTCCGGAAGACTTCCTCAAGTCTCCCTATCTCCTCATCCACCGTCTTGGCGAAGACCACGATGTCATCTAGGTACAGTAGTAGTGTTTCCCACTGAAGCCCGGAGAGAATCCTTTCCATCAGCCTCTCGAATGTAGCCGGGGCGTTACAGAGGCCAAAAGGCATGACCTTCCACTGGTACAGTCCTCCTCTAGTAACGAAAGCTGATTTGGCCTTGGCATCCTCATTTAGTTCCACTTGCCAGTATCCACTGGCCAGATCTAGGGCACAAAACCACTGTGCCCCTGCTAGCGAATCTAAGCTGTCGTCCACCCTGGGTATCGGGTATGCATCTTTCAGTGTGTGTTCGTTGAGAAACCGGTAGTCCACGCAGAACCGGGTGGATCCATCTTTCTTCTTCACTAAGACGACTGGAGATGCCCATGGGCTATTTGATGGCTCGATTATCCCCTTCTGTAGCATGTCTTGTACCTGCTCGTCCGCCTCAGCCCGTTGCCAGGTAGGGAGACGTCTGGGACGTTGGCGTATGGGGGCCGTATCATCTGTCCTGATCTCGTGACGCACCAGGTCCGTTTTCCCCAGGTCTCCCGTGCCCTTTGAGAAAACGTCTTGATACTCGATGAGTAGCTTCTTCACCTTGTCTCTATCTGGACTCTCCAGTAAGTTCTCAACACTCTGTTGGTACAGATCGGTGAGATGTTCTGGAAGCTCTTGACCAGCTTTGTTCTCTGCTGTTTCTTCCCCTCTTTCCATCATCCTAATCGTAGATTGATCATCTTTCTGAATGTCCTTATCAGCCGTGGATGTGATGGTCCCCAAGACACTTCCTCCACTTATCATCACAATTGTAGTACTTGGGTTGAACACTCGAACCGGATATTTATCTGCAGTGGCATCCACAAGTACCCTCGCTACCATCAGACCTCGTTTTGCCACCTTACTCCTGTCATTTGGCTCGATGATCCCCCATCCATGGAGGTCTTTCTTCTCGTCCAGGACACCAGTGATGATTGCTTCATGCCCGGGTGGTATCCTTGTAGTCCTGTCTGCTCGCACTCGGCAGCTGAAAATGCTTGTCTGATCTTTTCCTTGTAAAGGAATTACATGCTCCCCAATCTTCAATTGCCGATGTCTCAAGTCCAGTACACTGCCAGTTGTCAGAAGGTAATTCATGCCGAGTATTCCTTGGTTTCTGATGGATGCAACCAAGACTTCCACCTCCGCTTTATATCCTCCAATTTGTATCTCCATCTGGGCACTTCCTTTTACTGGGAGTGGTTTCCCATCGGCTTGGCGGATAACTTCATCGACCGGTGTCAGTATAGGTCTGGTTTCTCGATCCATCAGGTTGTACTCTTTTGTGTCTATCAATGTCTCTGACGACCCAGTGTCTATTAGGAATGGCAGTGGATGTGTCCCAATTTCACCCGGCACGAATACCCCATATGAAGCAACTTCACTTGGTAGTGGTACTGGGTGGAGCTGCTTCCTTGGAAGTTCTCCACCATCCTCTACTTTTTCTGGATCTGTATCACAGGTTTGGGGTCTTGTGTTGCCGACCTTCCCACGACCCCCTGGGTTGGTCCGGAGTCGTTTCCCGACGGTGCGCTGTTCTTCAGTTCAGGGCAGTTTCTCTTAAAGTGCCCCGTGTTTCCACAGTGGTAGCAGGCTAGTTTTTGACGCTTCTGTTCGAAGTCGGCTTGTTCAGGGCGCCGTGTGTCATTCTGCATTGCTTGAGTTAGCCCGGCCAACATCTGATGCACCTGCCTCAGTTGCTCCGACATTGCCCGTGTTTGCCTTTCAAACTCATCCCTTGAGACAATCTCCACTTGTCTTGTGACTCGATTGTTTCTGTCTGGGCGACCACCCTGGTTTCGCTGCCGTTGTCTCTCCGCTTTCAGAAAAGACTCAGTCTCCAGCGCAGCTCTGATCGCCTCATCCAACGTCTTAGGGTGCGCTCTGAAGATTCCTGCTCTAATTTCTGCATCAGGTATGGCATCCACCAGATACCCTCGTGCCAGACGCTCTCTGCTATCTCGGGCAGCTCAGGATACGCCAGCTCCGTGAGTCGACGTATTCCCTGCCCCAGCGCTTGCAAACTTTCGTTTTCTGTCCTTGTTCTGCTCCTAAGCTCGGCTAGGTACGTTTCGGCTTGCTCACCAGGCCCATAACGTCTTTCTAGTCTTGCTGTTAGCTCCGCATAGGTCAGCACTTCTCCAGTAGCCCTGTCTCCCAGCACTTGCTGTGCTTGACTCTTGAGACTCGCTGCCAGGAAGAAAGCTTTGTCCTCTGCCGTCCAGCTATTAATAACTGCACATGACTCAAAATGAGATTTGTAGTCTCTCCATGGCACCACCCCGGCGAATCGATCCGGCACGATATTTGGCTTCCGATGAACTCTGCTGGTTCCTTCTGCCCCTGCAATTGCTGCTCTCTTGGGTGGATCCTGCCCCTTTTGTTCAGGCAGAGTTTTCTTTTCTACTGATCCTTTCTCTCCCGGATCCACTGGTTTCCTCAGGTGCTGCCCTGTGCTCCTGACTTATTCCACCACCCGCTGTGGTGCTGTGCACGTCTGATGTCCAGGCGCCTCTCCCAACCGCTGCTGCAGATTACACCTCGCATCAAACGCCGACTGTGGGGTGTTTAAGCTACCTGGCATTTCCCCTGGAGCCTGCATCCTTGGCCGGGCCGAAGGCCACCCAGACTCCACCAGACCATCGCTCGTTCCAGTAGGTCTCTGCCGTCGAACCTCTGCTGGTTCTACTCCACCCCAATCAGTCAAACTCCGGTAGACTGGCTGCTCTACCACCCCCGGTCCCCATGTCACTGGTGTTGACATGAATCTTGCCTGAGGAAAGGCCTCCGCTGTGCCGACCGTAGGCGTCATCACTTCCCCAACTCTTCCGGTCTGTTGGAAGAGCTTTTGTGCCGTCACTGGCTCCTGCGCCCTGATGCCAACACCCGGCATCCTCTCGTCAGATCTTGCCGGTGTCAATATAGGAGGCGATGGTGTTACCGCAGGGTGTAGCCTAATGCTTGCTCTGCTGGTCACCCTGGCCGGTGTCGTCTCAAAGTATCCCACACTTTCTTCCAACATCCTGTCTCTGCTGTCCATTGTTACTGTGACTAGTGGTTCTCCACGTCCACCCTGAATTCCGTTATCCTCAAATCACTGCTTCTGGTAGATCAATTCTGACCACTCTCACCCTGTGGTTCCTTTGGCTAGCTGTCCCGTCACTCTCAGTGGATCCCACCGCTGCCACCAATGTAACGTGCGTCGCCTAGTCGGTCCCTTGCCTCTCTGGCCCAGTCCCGATGGAGTTGAAGCACCTGCGGTTGGAGGCCACAGCACCAAGTGACGAACAGCACTCCCAAATCTGCTCCACCAGGGGAAAGCGCTAACTCAACTTGTGTTTGGGATTTAGGGGATTGGGTGGATTAACCTGTGGTTTTGGGTGGATTAGCCTGTGGTTTGGGAGGTTGACTGGTGGCTCTGGGTGGCTGACCGGTGGCTCAGGGTGGCTAACCAGTGGCTTAAGTGGCTCGAGTGGCTCTAGTGGCTCAAGTGGCTCAAGTGGGGGAGACTTACACCCTAATTAGTGACAATTAGACAATAAAACAGAGACAGGAGACTTCTTTGACTTCTTTGGTCCCACCAGGCGAAGAAGTGAGATTTATTCTCTCGAACTGTGCCTTTTATAGGCCAACATGGTCATATACATTCACATACAATAAATGCCCCTCATTACTAAAGTACACAGGGTGCCTCAACCAATGAAAATGCAGTATTGCTTAGTAGATGACTTAAGCCACGCCCATTAACAGCGCTGGCCAATTAAATGCTGATGTTCTAGTATGAGTGACTGGGCACTACAGACAAGTCACTATACAGTTCATGTTAATGTATAAAACGTATAGTTGATGATTCATCACAATATGCACAAGAGCTCCAATAGGCACTTACTAATATTGATAAAATCTTCCTTTGTGCAAAAAAGGCAAGCTGCAGTATTTGACATTGTTATAATGAAAATAAGAGAACAATGAAAATTAGTCTCTGAGATGTTTCTATAAAACTGCCTCACTAGCTTGTGTTTACAATAATTTAGTACCAAAATGTTCGATCAATGTTTGTATTAATCAACAAACAAATCCAATCTTTTTTGGCAGGCTTGTAGGGTTTGGTAAAAAAAAAATCATGATTATTCTATTGACTTTTTAAGTACATAGATATTGTTTTTTATTTACATATTGCTCGCATCCTGCCTGACATGGAATTCTATTAAACATAAGTCTGCACCGTACGCTGTAAAAAGTGACTGCACCTCATGCACATGTACACAGCACATATATTTGTCCCAAAATTATAAACACTTGAGGTTCTTACAAAACCGACCGTTTACTTAGATGTTATTCACACAAGTATCAACATTATACAAAAATAGCCTGCATCTTTACCCATGTATGCAAGTAAATATATTTACACAAAGTTAATGAAAATGCTCTATGCAATACGTCTGAGTAAGCTGAACGTTTAGTTAGGTGAAATATCTAAGACATGCCAAAACAAAAAAATAAGCGACTATAACCCAAAACAGGTGCTGCCATACTGTGGTTAAACGATATGCCAGCGTTGAAAGTATTTGAGAATCCAAACCGTCATTTACAGGCCTCCGTATTATCCCCATATTCATTTTGTCTTGAATCAGTTTAAGTGGGCAAATTACATGCACAACCTGTCGGTTGCCGCTATAGTATGACGTCACACTCACATCAGGTAACATGGTCTAGTATTGTTATAGGTTACTCGCCCTTAACAATGTACGTGTATTTCTTGCGCGGGGGGGGGGGGTGTCACGTGCACGGAAGTCCCGACCCATGGGCCACTAGCTGAACAAAATGTATCCAATCAGAGCTCAAAGAAATTAGAGGTCACAAACACCCTTGGATATGCGGTGGGGACGAGGAAACACAGCAGGTCTTTACACTTCTTCCTGTGGGTAATATGTAGGTGGTTGGTCCTTCTCGGGGTAGTCAGTGTAGGGCTTGGACAAGTAATCACCCTGCTGCTGCTGCTGCTGCTGCGATGGCTTGTGTAACATTGGCTGCAGCTGATGCTGCTCTTGTAGTGGCATGTACCCCATCATTGAAAGCTGTTGTTATAAATGTAACAAACACTTTTGCTCAGGAATATGGAAATTCGCATTAGCATACAAAACAAAAAGGCACCCAAATATCCTTGAAAATGGCAAAATAAAATTTGAAAATAAGGTTGAATGGGACACAAAGTTGCATTTTCAAGGATTGCATTAAAAACTGCAGGGGCAGGGGCACATGACCAGCTGAACACTGAACCCTTAGACACAATGTTAGCAACATTCATACATTAACGTTATCTAATTGAAGCACAGATTACTTATAAAAATGACAGAAATCCTAAACCGTACGCCGGGATCGAATGATATAGAAGGACGAAGTAAAGCTGCATGAACATGAGAGTTTAGACACGTTCCATAATGGTGCTGACATTTCCTCCTTAGTATTTAATTGGTGTTTATATCCAATATTGATGGCACCATGCCAATGCTTTGAGTTATTAGTCACGCATACCTTGTCTGCATTCACGTTCTGCAGACGGCCACGCCCATCCCTCAGCTCCGTGTACTGAGACACCACACACAGAAAACAAAACACCTGAAACAGCAGTTTATTACACATGGGTTAACTGGTGCAGAATCAGAAAAAAAAGTCTTAAAGAACTTATATCCAGTTTTGTAGATATCTATTTTTTTGCACAACCTTAAAGACATGACATAAACATGACACAGGACACCAATTTCCAGTTTTAAGATTTAATAATGAAAAAAAAACTACAGGTATTCTTACGTTGAGTATGGTGAGCCCCAAAATGGCGATGAGCATGGAGATCAGAAAGGCGGTGATGAACATGGGAGCGGTCATCTGGCGGTCCAGGTCGGGCATCTCATACTGAGAGTGCTGTCATCAAAGAACCGGTAGAGAACAAAAACGTTAGCCACCTCTCGACCGATAATTAACCCGAAAGAAATTTCACATTTCTTGTCAATGAACAGTTGGGCAATGGTACACTAAGCAGCTGGAGCAATGAGCTGTCGTGTGGCTGACTCTGATCCATAATACCTCGTGATTTTGTGTAAATATCTAGTCTATTTTAAATGTAATTATTGAATTTATAAGTTTGTATCAACTTTTGAATTTTTACATAATTATTTGTAACTCGTTCTTTGTCAAGGCCATTTTAATTTTCCATGTGAGTGATAATAAAGTTTCAATCTAATCTAATCTTAATCTAATCAAACGCAACATGCCTATTTCTGTTGATGTAGAATGTCATTAACTGTCGTCATTATCGAGTTTTATTATGCTGTCACAGAAACACCTGTATTTCCTTAAAATCGAAATGGGGATAGAAGTCTGAATTACTTTGAAAACACTCGTTAACTTTGACTAGAAGAAAGTCAAACTTACATCCAGCTGACCCTGGCTGGAGTCAGTTGGGTGCAAATGTGTGTGTTTCTGGTCAAATGTAACTAAGGTTTTTCTCTTTTTATTTGTCTCTGGGGAAAGCAAGACTTTGTGGTATCAGCTCCAGATCACCATCTCGGAACTGTACTAGTACAGAGCTGTCGTGCATACGTTTGTTCAGTGGGAACCGTTCAATAGTGCATCATCTTCATTTTATTGTGAAGATTACTCAGCATGTACATGTACACCTTTGAGTCGAACTTACAGATGCGGTAGCCAGGGCATAGATGATGAGGATGCAAACGATGATCTGCATCAGTATCTGCAAGGGCAACATGACCATGTATGGAAGCAGAAAGCCGCGCTTGTCCTGTACAAAAACACACATTTTAAAAAGACAATGTACGCTTAAACATCACAAACATTTGAAGAATAATAGTTTTGGAACCGAAGCTTTGGTCGGTATTTCTCGGGAAATCTCGACGGTTTCTCATGTGCACATTCTTTCCATTCGGATACGTTTCGCGGCTTCTTGCGTCTATGATCCATCTGCTGACCCCAGGGTTAGTAGAATCGGGGCTCAATTTTGCGACTTGGCTAATCACCGAGTCCTGTATATGAATTTAATACGATCACCATTCTCTGCTTAACAACAAGGCATAGAAATCACAACTTCTGCAAGAAATCACACCTCCTGTACAAAGCCAACAAACATAATAATATACACATATTATACAATACAGGGTCTACACTGTAAAAAAGAAGTTAGGCAAAGTGGGTTGTTATTTGGCCAATGCTGGTCGAATTATAAACTGCTATACACTCTTGGGCAAATTCTTCCCAATAGTTTGACAGTTTTTACCCAATTCAACCCAATATGAGGTAATTCCATACCAATGCTGGGTAAATTACATTGCCCAACGGTGTTTTATCCAACAATTTAACAGTGAAGCTGTGTAGCAATTGACGATGATTCTTCGTTTAACGAATTTGGTTCAGATCAAGGAAACGGTGCATTATATTTTGAAGAAAATAACAGAAAATTTGCGATAAACTGAAAAACACACACACACACAAACAACACTAACCCCTTTGCCCAAAATAAAGAAACCAAAACAAAAAAACTAGGTCTAACCTTTACGACTCCCACTAGCAGCAGTATGGACGAGATGATGAGCAGGCCCAAGAAGCCCAAGCCAATGCAATATCCGATGGTCATATCGTCCTGGATGTTTGAATTATTCCCATAGGAAGATTCTTAATAAATAAAAAAAAAATTGAAAGAATCAATTATGATCTCAATGTTCAAGCTGTATTTTTTCCTAATTGAAATTCGTATTAATATATGATTTTCAAACTCGCTTTCGACCTTTTGTTGTTAATTTTATGAAAAGTCGGTGAAATGTAACGATTTCTTTATTTTGATCATTGTGTATTATGACCTCATTTTATATGAACGCGTTATGCGCAATCATAAATGTAAAATGATTGTAACTAGATTAAGACTGAATTTTACATTGTTTAAGAACTAGTATGTATACTGCACGCTCTTGATAAACCTATGAAGGAAATAACAGGAATGTATAGTATTTTTACCTTTTTCGATCGAAAGTATAAGAACCATTCAATAAAAAAATACAGACAAAGAATGACAGTTCAATTACCCATAGACTTCGCGATCTGATAAGCAGCTACTGCCACAGACAATGCGTTGTATATCTGTTTAAAAAAAACACAAGAAAAACAATTTCTCTTTAAAAAAAAAAAACACGCATGGCATACATGCATGGCTTAAAATAGTTTTTAGACATTAATGCATTCAAATAAATAATCCACAATAAACATTATTGCATCAACACAATGAGACTGCAATATAAATATTATTAAAATATTTCAATCAAAATTTCCGACGCCATGTCTCATCTTACCAGCGTATATATTCCTGCTGCCATCGATCCGGACCGAACATTGTCCCAGCAGCAGCATCTCCGCAGAATCGCCATGATTACGCAGCCGAAAAAGGGTATGGCTGTTTATCGTCCAAAATTATGTCCTTCCAACAACAATTGTTAGCGTAGGTTGTGGCGCAGCAAAGAGCCGTTGTAAGCTGTGCAATTAAAGCATCATGGCGTCGCCCAGAAACATATTAGATTCTGGGCATGCGCAGGTCAATATTTCCTTCTTTCGAAACGAGAACCCGTGTGACGCGACGCCTGACCGACCCCGATCGACCCCTGCACTTTGTTGTTTTGACAAAGTTAGACTTTACATTGTGCCTTCGCGGCACGACTGGCTGCTAAGGTTTGTGTTGGTAGCCGTATGAGTGCATCACTGTGTGCAGACTGTGTGCATTGTTTGTGTGTGTGTAGGACCGTGCGGTGCATGATTGCATGAATATTGAAAACAAATCTAGTATCGAAATTTCATGAAACCAAAATCATAAGAAAACTATAATAACTGCCTTCCTCTCCGTACAGTATTCGGATTCTCCAAGAGAAGGGGTTCTCTTATACCATCCAACGATTCTTTTCTATAGCATCCTATGGTTCTTTTTTTTTAGCATCCCAGCCCACACTACACATGATTGCATTATTGTGGATCTGTGGAGCATAGAGAAAGGACACATGGTTGGAACATTCCCAGGGGGTTCTGTTAGAGCATCCCAGCCCACATACTGATTGCATATAGGGGTTCTCTTAGAGCCAGGTGGTTCTCTTACATTATCCCAACAGTAGGTGAGGGGTTCTGGTTACATATGACACTTAGCGTTTTAATTATTCACACGGCAGCCATCTTGGAATTATGCAAATTAGGGCATCATGGGACTTTTTTTTCGCTGGCAACATCAAAATTCACTAATCCGATGTCCTAGGCATTCTAAATCATCTTGGATTTTTTTTTTGGGGGGGGGGTGGGGGGTGGGTTTGAGGGGGAGGTGCATGGGAACCCATTTCTCCTGCGGTACTATATGGAATCAGTGCAGTGAGAGCTTGGATGCTCCGAATAGGGCCCCATGGGTGCTCTAAGAGACCTTCTATGCAATAAGTGCAATGGTTGATGGGATGCACTAAGAGAACCCCCTGGGATGCTCTGACAGACGATTGTTCACGCCCATGATTATGTCCGTTTGGTCCAGTTATTTCCGACAGTAGATCTTGACTATAGCGACAGCCGATTATGTCCGACCGATTCTGTCCGACGGCCGATTGTGTCCGACAGCCGATTATGTCCGATCCATTATGTCCGACGGTCAATCAAAAAATATTAAAATCTCATTTGTATTTGGACGCTTGTGTGTAAATCTGAAATTGTCACTTTGCTCATCAGTAGCTTTCAAAGGCAATTCCATGGACAGCTATAAATATGGGTTATATTAATAAAAACATGCATAACTTCTGGCAGCATGGATCAATTTCAGTATTTTTTAAGGTGAGTGGAAACACGTGCTCTTTTAAGACGTACTTCATTTTTATATCAAATTTAATTTCTTTTTTAAGGGGGAAAATATTTAATCCGAGTCACTTTCTTTTTGACCCACCTTGCCATATTATATATAAAAGAGCTGGATAAAAACATTGTAGTAAAAAATGTTTAAAACGGGTGTTTGCTCTCAAAGTATGTTACTATTGTTCCCATGTAACCCTGTTATGCCCCTGTCAAAGCATAAATCAAATGTATGCAAAATACCGATTCTATACTTTCGCATAAAAAAATCGTATAAAACATTTTATGTCGCTGCTATTTCACCAAGTTATGGATTACATGCATGCAACTTTTACTCCGATCAACTGATTTCTTCGTTTTCACTTCACACTTGTTCCATTAAAACTGTAGGCCTACAAACATTGTGTGAAGTCTTGCGCAGCTTGAAATTTCCGCTGTCTGTTTTTTATTTCCCAGTTGCAGGACTAATATAAGCGTTACAAAATGTAATACTTATATCAGTCATGCAACTGGGAAATAACAAACAGAAAGAGGAAATTCCAAGCTTAAATATATGCTTGGCCGATTTTAAACAATTACTTTGAACCCGGACATTCGGCTCGGGCCATTATCCGCGACTACAGACCCCGTATAGGCCTAGGGCTCCTTGCGAACCGTACTGTATGAACTGGTTCGCGCAAGAAGTACGCATGGCTTCCTGCATGTGCCCAAGTTATTAGCCACAGCGTCTTCGCGTCTCCCAGACTAACCCCCTTCCCCAGTAACATTGCCGGGATCATTCGAAATACACAGTGGATGTGTCTCATCATGCAGTCATCCATTTACATAGAAACGAATTTGAAAAAATACACTTACTTCTTGCTATCTATACATATCAAAAATCATTCGTTTTATTGACAATGCTGTATCTGATTTAAGACCTATGTACACATTCCATGTATAAAATATTAAATCTTTCAAACTTAATTTAAACATAAGACAGATGTAATACGGACGTAATTTGCCATGATTTTTCATATTTGAAAGAATGTTATAAAGCTGTTACAATTTACTCTAGTCCCATTCGGCACTTTTAAGGACATAAAATTACCATAGCTGTACAGTAATAAAACAGTCGCTAGTAGCGTCTTGATTGGGAGACTGACATGCCGATAGCCGGGCCTTGCACTGGGAAAACACTCTCCTGAGATTTATGTGCAAAAAAAAATAGAAAAGAAAATTACTTAAAATGTGGGTTATCTTGAACATGGGTTTGCTGATTCATTAATTTGACCGATATTAAATTTTACTCAAGCTGACAGCCTCCATTCAGTCTCAAAATGCTGCCCAGAAAAGGTTATCTTTGGTATTAATGCCTCATGTCTGCAGCAGGTCAAGGGTATAGGGAAAGAGCAACCGTTGGCAAACATTGAACAGATGGTATTTAAGTTATACCTCCTGATTTCAGTTGAGAAATGTCGCGGAAGTTTTAGAAAATAATAATGTACCAAATTAATTTTAAAAATCTATCCGCAAAATGTCCCAATCTTTTTTTATTACATCCTCCCAAGATCACTCTTACAAGCAGGATACTCGTAAACCGGAAATTCTATGACAATCCTCTTTGGAAATACCGTGAGGAACGACGGTCTCTGGTAGTTTGGGCAATGTCTCAATCTGGTTTTGCACCAATGTATAATATGTATAGGGGAAAAGGGAACTGTATGGGGATTTCCCGCGTGCCTCACATTGTTCACGGACAATGGCTTGTTACGGGCTTTTTCCACTTCAAGCGGTCACCTGTACAATGAAACGTTTGTGTTGGTCTGAAATTAATATTGACACTTTTTTTTACATCCTAAAGACAAACTGAGGAGTACGTTACAAGAGGAGACGAAACATATGTTGAATCACTATATACACTAAGGAAAACAGCTACTCAAGTTTTTCCCCGAATCTATAATATCGCATCATTTTCATTCCAATTCAGTCTCAAAAAGAAGGCAGGGTTAGCCTCAATATGGATTCAAGATGGCCGGATCCTAAATAAACGTACCTGTCTGACAAGCCGCGCATCTTCGCCGTAACGGAGTTCTTGGTAGCGAGAGATCACACACAGGAGACTCAAGGACTGAAATCAATATACAACCACCGATTAAAACAAAATTACAGATAATGACACTTCCTCAGCTCAGAAACATTGCATTTATTTCAATTGTAATGTGATCGTGAGTTTTCATGTATCGTGCACACAAATTACAGGGATAGTGGTCACTCAAACCTGCCGGGTTTTTTTAAACAGACGGGATTTATACTGTATCAATTAACTGCCTCGAACAAGTTTTCTTTTCACAACTTCATCAATGTCTTATAAACCAAATGGTGTGAGGTACAGACAGGCCTGTGTAAAGGGTTGAGATGGAAACTAGATGAGGGAAGTGCAATTCCTAAGTTACCATTCTATATTGCAGTTTAAAAAAAAAGTACACTGTCAAAATTTATGCTCGCTTGAAAGGAACGGTATTTGATACAAGGGATTTGACCTAGACAAATGTCATGAACGTTCGCTTCTGTGCCTGTGAATGCAATCGAGCCGTCAGTGGTAAAAAGAAAATGCTTGTCATCCCCTTTTCACCCGGTACATGCACAGGCATGTACCAAGGCCTGCTGTTTTGAAAGGCCTATTCTGAAAACTCGAAAAGAGGCAGTCATCATGAGTCATGCATGAAAACAAAATAATACACAGGGTTTGCAAATGTTACAAAAAGTTTTCCATCACCCCGTGGTAATTTTCCAACAACTGAAGGTCTTATAAACAATGTATTGTGCGTGTGACTCATGTTGGAATTTCAAACAGGATATAGGCCTAGATTTATTTATTTTGTTTTGAATTTCGAGATCAGTTCTCTGAAAGCAGAAAGCAAACTCACATCGAGTACAATAAATATCCCCGAGAGGGAGAGGGCTACGAGGTTGAACACGTCGTGCACGTAACCATCCTCAAACACCTGAGAAATAAACCAGCATGACATTAACAAAGCATGAACTTGGGTTCACCAGTTGTAGTGTGATACTGGTAATAGGGGCCCCATTATTGGAGGCGCATGCACTCAATGGGTTTGTAACAACGACGAGCTCATAGTGGCCTTCCTCATAATTCTGAGTGGCAAAGCATGAAATTAAGAGATGATGCATCATTCTTGAAGTCATGTTTTCAAATAAAAACACTTTTTACATTGGTGAAAACGGTGTTTATACAGCCACATGCACAATCTCATTACATTGTGTGTGGTCTATTCTTTTTTTGGGAGGGGGGGGGATTTGAATAAAACAAATATTTGTTTTTTCTCGTATAAACACAGTATTGCATTACTCATGTTTTGCTTGTCCTCTGCCCCAAAATTGTATTGTGCACATTATGAAATGTTGAAATATATTGAAATTATTACAATATTCTCTGATTAGGCCCTATGTGCCGCGCAGTACAGTGCGGTTGTCCAAAACATGCCCAGAATATCGTTACTTATTGTGCGTAATATTGGCAAACAGTGTATTCAAAATGAATTGCGTTGTGCTGAGTATTTCGACACTAATTAAATGTACATGTATTGTCATTTACAATCCATGTGAGCAAAACAAAAATCCATCAAATTATTATGGGGACAAATTTGCAACTGTGAGTAAGCCTTTGGCACTCACCAAGATCATGATATACAGATAGAGAGCACACAGAGAGCAATGAACCAGGATAGCAAGAACCCCCGCCACTATGTATGGAATCAGCAGTCCACGACGATCCTGTGTAAAATTGCACAAAATAATTCAGTTGTGATTGCCGAGCCGAATACAAAGTGTGCATATTTTATTATAATTTTTGGCTGTGATAAAGCCAGACTCGAAATTATTTTTTGACGTTCCTATTTTGACTTTGAAATGTGACACAATGGATGCATTTTTCTTTGGGGGGGGGGGGTTACACAATTTAAAAACAAATCTACCAACTGAGTAACCGGTCATTTAATGGACCAACCAACAAATCGACAAACTATTCAGAACATGTCTGTTGTCACTGGATGGAATAGCTTAAAAAACAAACATGCTCTTTTGTCAGAAAATAAACGTATGGTTGCGCAAACCAACAAATCCCAACAGAGGCATACACTGTTGACAATGCCTATTTGAACGTTTACGTGTATCTGAAATACTGAATCGCCACGGAACAAAATAGACACTTAAGTTAAAACAACAATGGAGGGACTGGGAACCAGTCTACCACGTCGTTCTGCCGATGAAAAAAATGAGGGCGCTAATTCAATTTCAAAGAGATTCGGAAATGTTCATGCTCGTCATTTCATATCTCATAGTTTTGCGTTGAAATCATCCATTTATTTTGGTCCTGCTCCGTCACCTCCAGCAACAAGGTGCAAGCATCCCAGCGTTATAAAAAAAATCGTCAAATCAAACAAAAGCACGCCATTGTGTGGAAGAAAATAATTATTGTACTTACACAACAAACTCCCGCCACCATTAGAAACGACGATAGACATAAGAATACCCACAGCCCCACACCGACGGCATAACCGTAGTAAAACGGGGCGACGTCTTCAACTGAACAGAAAAAAAACGAAGCAGATCTAAAACAGAAGTTTCCTCTTTTTTTTTACAGTTCATTTCTTATGGTGAATGATGCTCTCAGCAGGATAATGCATATAAATTGAAATTTGTGTTATATTGATTCAATAAAGTCATAGTTTCTCTTTGTCTCTTTTTAGTCATATTGCATGAATTCCTGCTTTATCTCATTGTTTTCAGAAGGAATTGTTTTAAAATAAATTTCCTCTTCATTGCATGAGGTCACCGCCCACCTGATACAGAATTGACTTACATGTTTCCGATTGTAATATTCCTGATTCGTACAGGTTGTAGCCGCCCCATGCTGCCCACGCGAGTGACGTCACCTGAGCATGAAGTATTTAAATGAGGTAATGGGTTTGTCAATTTGTTATGATCAACCTGTTGATCAATCTAACATTGTGTCTTTCAATACCAGGAATTGATATCCTTCACAAACGGAAGTGTCATGGCCTTTTTGTAAGTTTGATTGATGAACCTTTTAAGTTCTGTACAGTGAAAACAACCTGTTGCTGTTGTTGATATGTTTCTGCTGCACGTAGTACTTTCCCAATGAATGGTGCTGTACTTTTCCAAGAAGAAAGACACCCAAATGAACGGTAATGTACTTTTACATATAAAAAAAAAGGAGACACCTAAATAGAACCACACTGAGGGCGCTATTCAGAAAAATGAAGGCTGGGATTGAGTGCATTTCGAAACCCATTATAAGTCTTAATTCCACCCTATTCCTTATTAATTTTACTGCCACAGCCCCCTTTTCTTTCCCCTTGCAGTTATCACACTTCACAACCCGCCTTTTATATTCTCAATACATAGGGCTATATTTCAAATCTGACATTTGCAGATGTCTTCAGCTTACCATTGAGAAGATCCCGACCACTATGCACCCAGTCCGAAGACCGCAGCAGCAGCAGTTCTTCACGATTGGCATGATGATGGCGCCCTACTGCTCTACCTACCCTCTCACTCCCAGTCTTCCAATGTCTTCAAGTCAAGTTGTTGCCAGACATGTATCAGAGACTGCGGATATTGAAGGAGGACATCTATTTCAACACAGATGTAAGTCACATTTTGTTTCATGTTCTTATTTCATCTGAAACACTTATTCAGAATCTTTACCCCAAAATTGAGCTCTCTACTTGTACTCCCCTGTATAGTGTAAGTGGTGGGCAAAACACAATGTCTATAACAAGAATTCGTGCTTTTGTAGCTACAACAACTTCATCAGAAACTGATGAAATGCTACTAATGGTTCGCTTTAGTATAATTTATTGGGTAATAATTACATTAGCGACAATTTTTCAGTTTTCGGCTAAATGTTACGCTCGAACGAATGAAAAGCATTTTGTTTTAGGTGAAGGGATTATTAACTTTTCAATTCAATTCAATTTGTTTACTCATCATGCCAGCATGAAATTTTACTTCTCGGTTTGCAAATAAAATTTCAAATACACACAATACAGAATGTTGAATATAAAAACAGACAGTATACACGTTAAAACTTTCAATGAAAAGCACTTAATTAAATAATAAAAGTGTTTCTCAAAATACCGTAAAACTTTCAAACCCACACACATGGACCGCATTGAACGGACTGCCTAGGGGACAAGGGAAGGTAAGCCAGAGGACAATGAGAAATACATATATGTAGGATTATGGGATAATAGTAAGGGGGGGAGAGTGTGATAATCATATCCCCTATAACACTCCCTGAAAATCGAACGTTGGACCTATGGGTGAGATGTCACTCCAATATTTTTTGAATGACCGTGGCATCAAAATATTGAGCGTTATAAAACATGTGGCGTCAATCCGAAGAGATCAGTAAAACAATTGACTGATCAATCCATGCCAGTAACATCCACATCGGATAATCTATATCTAAAATAAAACAGTGTGCATGTACTCACATTTGTTTTTCGTCGGGCAGGCTGTTTATCTTCAAAATATTTATAATGCTTGAAGGAGAATGTCACAAATATGGCGACAAGAGCACATATCCGTTCGTTCGTTCTATCGTGATTCAGCTGTGGTACAAACAGGATCTGGTATTATTTCCTGTGCAATGCTACGTGTATACTTCTTCCGTTTCCTCTAGGGAGATAGATCCAAAGGCTTCTGCTTTCTGGAATTTTTGTCATGCCGCGCGCACAAAAGTCCCTGTTTTCGATGAATTATAGAATTGTTGATTTTATTCAACCGCAAACATTAAAGCTAGGCCTAGATACCCCAAATGATTTTTTTTATTGTTACATGTACTTGCTTTTCCGCAACACGTGCGGAAAGGCGTTTGTTTTTGTTCTGTTGTTTTTTCCTCAGAGAGTAGCAATATTATATCCCATGGCAGATGGCTATAATGGGCACGGGACTATCCATCATCCTGTTCAGTTCTTGCCAACAGAGGGGGCTGTGCAAAACTCCAATAGGGATGCAACCCTGCAAATAAATTCCCACAGACACTAGTGCTAAATGTCCATACTTCAAATTCTTTTTAAAATACTCAGAACTCTCACAGGTATTCAAGCTGCACAGAAAAATGATGATCAACATGTCATCTTTCGTTTTCTTTTCATTTTTTGGTGGGTTGACCATTGACTTTTCGAGATATTCTCACCCAAAGAAGACGACCCCAATTTTCCCCAAAGCGGAAAAGTAGCCATCTTGAAAAACGATCCCTCTACAACATGGCAAAATAGCGCCACTTTCGAGCCCAACAGCATCCAAAATGCTCAGCATTGGAAGCCCCAAGTCCGGGCCAGAGGTTCATTACCATATCAGTCAATTCCCCCATTTTGCGGCGCTCAGAACTCTCTAATGTAGAATATGTTGAGGGTATAACTTTTATTCATGAGCTCGGCTGATGGATTTAGGCCTATTTAGCGGTGTGCACCCATAGTATTCAACGAAAAAAATTACCGTTGCTAATAAGTCCCGCAGTTTCCTCACGCAAAATGAGACCTGGAGACGTCATCTTCATCTTCTATCGATTATTAATTTCTGTATGCTTGAGTTGAAAGAAAGGCTGTATACTGACAAACGTCAGCCCGTGACCCGTATTTGTACATGACTACCTTCGTAGCGTTTTATAGATTTTCTGTACGGAATATTGTGTTAGCCCTTCGTGCCTTTTGCTCCATAAATAGTAGCCAGGAGCTATTTTGCCCTGCTTAATGCAAATACGGGATCAAGGCTATATCACTGAAGTTCCCTCAGCAATCAACTAGCGGAGGAATAGATGATTAATGTACATGTAGGTCCAATGGAGGACCTTTTAGACGTATACAGGTTGCAGCAAACACACCAGTCCATTTTCCATTCCATTTAATACGGCAGATTGGGCGTTTGGCGTAAACAATGGAAAAGACCGGTGTGTTTGTTGCCACCAACGTCTCAAAAGCCCCCATTCACATGCACCGACCATTACTTTGTGTTGTGACTAGTTATTGCAACAAAGCCATAGAAATTATTATTCTAGAAACGAGATCATCAGTGCAGTCATAAGCCTTAACTATGTGTCTAACAGCTTGATAAAACATGTTCGGCCTTCACCATTCGTATAATGTCGGATAATTGTTTCTTTGGATGCAAAACATACCCCTTTACGTTAACAAACCTTACTTATTTCAGAAAAGTTCGCAAAAGCTTTACACGCGAGCTCATTGAAATATATTCGCAGAGCAGACCGTTCTAGTTTATACATGTACATTGTATTGTGAAGTGCGAAAGACGCTGCACTTCATAACTTGTCTCAGTTTCCGAAGTGCCTGAATGTGATGAAATGTCTGGCTTTTTTGTTGTAGTGACTGTTGCTGTGGCTTATGTAATAGATTGTTCGTTGATTGTACAAGCCCTTATTAATCCAAGTGCTTCATCATTGTCTCGTCGAGGTTTTAATTGTGAATTTGCAACGGCGCGTGGCGATAGACCTCTCGCTCTCGTCAGTTTTTGTGGCATTGCTATGTGCGCATTCAAATTATAATGATGATAAATTGAATAACGTCGTTATACTGTTGTTGTGGGTTGCCATGCCTCGGTTCTCCCTCCCTCCGTACAACGAATGTTGACAACCTCCTGCTCCTCTATACCACGGCAGCCTTGCGACGAAAGTGAAAGCGACTCGCAAGAACATATATTATATTTCCCTTGGCATACTTTTTTAGGTAATTACAAAACCAGTATAATTTCCCTTATCAAACCATTCATGGTTTAAAGGGAATGTACATCATTGGCTTTTGCTGTAATTTTCAGAAATGAACTGTTTGAGGGGTTAGTATAATAGATCAAATATTGTTACACTGACATGTTTGAAGTTTTGTGTTCAAAAATGCTGGAAAAACTAAGAAAAACAAAAATGTTCAAGTAGTCTGGTTCCTTGACTCCACTAAAGATAAAATGGATCAATTTATTAATGCCGGAAAATTGTAAGGTAAGGAAACCAGTGTAGCTGGCCTGCACCCGTTCATGAACATGTAACCAATAGCAAACAAAATTTGGACTGAAAAAAAGGTGTAAAGTTGGAGCAGTAGTTGAAAAATAGTTAGGTTTTTCCAACGGTGGTCGGCCGACCACCGTTGAAAATGTATACAAAAATACAATTTTCTTGAAAATGACTTCACACCAGGTGCAATAATTTTACAGGATGATTTAGACTGTCATTTACCAACATCCTAGTAAGGTATTTCGTAAAAACTTAGTAGTTTTATTTTTCGATGTTTGCAAATGTTGTATATTCCCTTTAATCAGACACGGAGGGTACCTGTCCAGCGGCTGCTGGCTTACGTGCATACTGACGAATCGACAAGCTTCCACAAAATATAATAGGCCTACACCGAAATCACAACAGCTACTGTTGATGCTGGTTGCCATGGGTAACACCTTGACGCGCCACGTTGGTATCAACAACAACGCACGGCACACATGCCTTTTGCATCAGGGAGACATTGTGCAATACCACAAAGGCGTCTATAACACCCCTCTGTTCAGGATACATGTCTTAAATCCTCACAAAAGGTCACATATACTATAAGCAGGCATAAAAATGTGTAACTTTTCCCCATGTTTGCATGAAAACAAATGGAACGACGTTATCATTAATTTTAAATTATACCTAGCAAATCATTGAGCTTATTGGAATTCTTTTTCACTGGGAGTAAGAAAGAAGAAACGTAACCAAAGCAATTCACGGAATGCCATGATGCAATATAGGACAAGATTATCCCCATAAAACATGATCGATTGGGGGTTATTGAAGGGGGCAAACACCTTTTTAGTGATTGTAAGGCAGTTCATGTATTATTCATGAGGGGGCAATATTGTGCGTCTGCGTTTCCTAACAACCGCTTATTCACAACACGTGAATATACACCAATCCATACAAAATGTAGGCCAATTGCGAGGCAAGTCAATACTACGCCGAGCTCTCACGCTTGTGAACTGTTGCTTTTGCGCCGAGCTCTGCTAGATTTTGGAAATACGAAGGAGAAATTCTCTCAACAAAACCGCCAACATGGCCATCATGAAGAGGTGTTGCTGTTTTAATGATACCCGCAGTGGTTCAATGGCTTCTGCTATATACTCTCTGGTAAGTAATTTTTAGTAATTTTTGCATCTTCGCAGCCGAAAACATTTTGTAATAGCAGGCTCTGTAATTACTGCTTTCGCAAGTCTGAGACGCATTCAATTGCTTTATTACAACGGTATGCCACAGGCGCCGATTCTGACGTTCTAGAACTTTTTTTAAACAGAAAACGTTGCGTTCGTGCCTCTACAAAATATACAGCAAGTAATCAGATATTACGGTATATTGTCTTCAACGATTAGGCCTAGAGATTTCTTGGTAAGGTCCCACTGCAAACAGATACACACTGGACCACGCCATTAAATTATTGTCATAAATGACCATAGTTGGGAAAAGTAGGATCATCAACAATCCCACGTGACCAGTATTTGTCCGTATAAGAAACGTACATTTTGGAATGTGCCATTAATGGTGAATGATATTGAATTTTTTGAGGACATTATAACATTATTTAACGTAATTGCTCTTTCTCTTGCAGATTTACGCAGTAATATTTTGCGCGTTGTCCGGTGCGGGCTTTGCTCTCTTGAACTTACTAGGTAAGTTGAACAAAAATAGCTGTGTCACAGTTACATTCCGACCGAATATATTGCATTGAAAATGGCGGGAAAACATTGATGCCAATTCAAGACGCTGTGCCTCGTTTAAAAAAAAAACCCAAAAAACCAACATGAAAACATTTATGAGAGACAATTTTCCCCAAATAATTGCGGGAATGAAGAAGTAGCCTGTAATCCATATAGGGAGTTAAAATAGTGTTTTGTACTTATACTTTAGAAATATTCTCCAATTTCTAGAAACGAAAATTTGTTTAAACCATTCCTTTTAAATGTCGATGATATTCCTGTGATTTTCCTTTTTTCATTTAAAAGATCATCTATAGGTTACATTTTGAAAGATGCATTAGCTTTAGCTTTGTAGAATGTCGTAATGTTTTTGATCTTTTCTCTCTCTCTTAACAGGTGGCATTGTCCTGGTCATGTATTATTTGAGTTTTGTGGTCTATGGACTGGTTTTCGTCTGCTCCATTATTGGCATCGTTGGCGTTTCCAAGGTAATTAAATCGATATTCGGTCCAATAAGTAGGAGTGGCCAGAATCACATGAAGATTACTATGCACAAAGACAATGAAGATGATTAACGCTCGAGAAAATACGGTATCTGTTAATATATATAGGCTACATGTACATGTATGGAAGAACATTCAATATACTGGAATGACTCTGTATATAAGTCCGCATGCAGTCCATGTGCTGAAACAACCAGTGTTAGGCCTACAATTATGTAGCACGCTTATATTATTATAGTGCACATTTTCGGGGTTCTATACTTTATATACGGACTTTACTTGAGAAACACTTCCAGTTTAAACGACTTTTGATGAGAGAAAAGTCGATTTGCTAAATTTTCTTATGTTCATAAATTTTGGATGTTGAACGTGCGCTACATATTCCGATTCTTATTCAGTTTTATTGGTAGCCTTGCATATCTGGAACAGCTGTTGTTAGTCTACTGAGTAGAAAAAAAATGACATGTTGAGAAATTGACGTATAAATAAATGACAAATTTTGTTTGCTAAGAATCAACAGAAAAGTAGTTGTGTTGAAATGAAATATAAACTCGTACAGTATACATCGTTTGCTAGATACGAAGGATATTGCGTTCTGCACCGCTGCACGAGATATCAATTATTGTTTTTCTTCATTTCTGCTTCCGCTTCATACTAGCTGCGTGATGGAGCTAGGGTCATAAACACGCAACATGAAACTTATCAACACAAATAGACGATAGTTTGATATTGTTGTTTATGTTTTCATAGGACTCTGCCGGACTGATTATTCCGTATATCGTTGCCGTGCTGGTCATGATGATTGTTGAGCTGGCATCCTACATTGTGTGGCTGTCTGTACTGGTAAGTATCATGCCCTGCATGGTTTTTTTTTTCTTCGGTTTTACATCATCTACTTTTGTTATTGGGGGGAAATAACAAAAACAACAGTCAATTTCTGGTTATTTTAATTGTTAAAAAGGGACCTGCTTATTGGAAATGGCTATATTAATTAGCTACATATTGTACCTCTGTTGTAAATGTATTACATTCACACTCCAATTTTTTTTGTCTCACTGTCTTTTGCTGTTCATTTAGGGTTTTGCAGCGATTTTACTCATCATCCCGTTTGTGATCTGGTTACTGCTTCTAGCACTCAATGTAAGTAAACTTGACCCTCAATATCTGCGATGCAAATGGCTGGCCAATATTGTATGCACATCATTATTTAATGTGTTGTTTTTTCCCCAATGAGTTTAGCAGCAGCAGTTAGATTGTGTAGTAAGGCTGCAGAGATAATTAAAAAAGGTTCGGTGAAAACTCACAAATACATATATGAAACATGGTTTTGCTGCTTACAAACTATGCTCTCGAAGGGGACATGCACTATTGAAATTTTAAAATTAAATTTATGTGTCTTCATAAGTTTGAAATTTAATAGAATTTTGAAACGTCACAGTAAAAAGAAAATCACTACAAAAAAAGGAAAATTCATTTTTGTAGCGTGCCCATTTTCGGTCGTTGACATAAGTAAGATCAATAATTTCAATATCGTATTTGAATTTGAATGAAACTTGCTTTTTTGTAGATTATGTGTCTGTTGTGCGCCATCTCCCAATACCAAGAGCTGAAGGCAGGGCGTGGTACCGTCCAAGACATTCAGGCCGCAAATACAGTAAGATATCTCCAGATATATTTGTTTCTCTCCAAACTGTACAAAAGTCCCCATGTTTCTCATTTATGATAACATTATATGGACACATTTGTTTCTCCCCAAACTGTACAACATTCCCCATGTTTTTTTTTATTTATGATAACATAATGGACACTTCGCATGTAACAAGTGCTGAAAAAAACCCAGAACTTGAGCTTACAAGACATTCCTGACATTTCTTGTGCATGAGAGTATCGGGCACTAAGCTGAACTGACTTTTGAAACTTGTCCACCCCATACTTTAATAAGTGCCAGTAAATCTTATTGCTGATCAGAAAATGTATTGTTTGAAACAACAAAACTGACGAAATTTCTCCTTGATTCGAACACACCAATCCATGCCTACAAATGTGTATTTTGCCTGCAATGGTGGCCCCGTATTGTTCCTCTTTTGTTGTACTATAACTTCTTAGGGAAGACCTCCCATATGTTTTGTACACGATCTTGGACCATCGGGAATTGTGGTCCTATTGTCCTCTATTGTTCAAGGTACCCTATTGAATGCAGAAACAAACCCTTGGCTTATTTAGGGTGTGATAAAAGAAATATTTTATACTTGAGCGATCCCCACGTAACTGATTTTGTCCTGTGTCTTCTTCACGCCAGACCACAACTGTGATCATGACCGGTGGTCCAGTGATCACGCAGCAGGCCCCAGCAGGAACCTTCATCGTACAGCAGCCTCCTCCGGCCTACGGACAGCCCATGATCCAGCAAGGGTACGCACAGCCACCACCCCAGACTGGGTATGCGTACCCGCCCCCACAACAGCCCATCTTGAACCAGCCCGATGACGGATTCAAAGCTTAAATAAAACCGGGGCCCACTTAGCATTGAATTCCTTCGCAGAAAGTTACAATACTGCTAACAAAATTATGTTATGAGCTAAGCCAAAAAAAAAAAACATACCAAAAAAGCAAGAGCCAACTTCATGTAGCTGCTGTGCACAGAAACTCCAGGGGGCATTTTCATACGGCCAGGGGCCATTTCCATAAGTACAGAGACCATTTTCATAAGTCCAGGGGCCATTTTGATAAGTCGAGATGCCAGTTTCATTAATTCAGGGGCCATTTTCATAAAGTTCAGAGGCCATTGCCATAGTAGTCCAGGGCCACGAGTCCGGGACCATTTTCCAAAATGTTTTGCTTAGTAACAAGAACATGTAAAGAAAAGGAAAAGAGGAGACTCGAAGTCAATATTTTACTGTCATGTTAAGACCGGAAACCATCAGAGCTGGCCCTAAAACGCGGCGAAATAAACATATACGCAGGCCCCTATGTGAATTGTTTTGAATTGCGCCCAAGAAATAATAATGAAATACTTTACTTCTTGCTTGTTTGAAATTTGAGACTTTGTTTTACATTTGTGTTGTTTGTGCAAGATACTTTTGTGATACCTTGTAGTGTATTTTTTCAAGTACCTCAACCAATGATGCCTTTCACATTATATATATTTTATTGCACAATTTTGATAAACAAACAAGATTTTGCTTGATTAACTACCGTAAATTAGTTTGCCATACCATAAAATCATTTTCAGTATCTTCACCAATGAGGCTTTTCACTTATTAAGATGTTTACTTTTTTCATGGAAATATTTCGTAGCAAAAAGGTTATACTTTACGTATATTTATATACTACTTTGTCCGTTAACTTGTGAAGTGTACTTTTGCCATTGCTAGTCGTTATCCCCCAGTAGGCTCCTATTTTGCCAATGAGGCCTGCTCATCTTACAATGTGGCGCTGTTATGAGGCGTTTAAAGGATAATATTCTAGGAATCTAAAGAAGTTGATGGTATTCTTAAAATACATGCGTGTGAAATCTAATTGGTCAGTATTTTATTTCTTTTTTTTTTCAGTATGTTTTCTGTTTGCAGGGGTTAAAAACTAACATTATTACGCAATTGCGGGTTATTTGAAGGAAACATTTTGAAAGCTAATCATGATAACTCTGACGAACTCTATGTATTTTTATGCATAATTCTGAATGGATATTTGCTTCAAAAGCGTGCAAAGTGTGACAAAATTATTCATTGTCTCACTTCCTAATTGAAACAAACCTCACACTTTAATAAGCTGTAAATAGTGTTTGTAAAGAATATGCAGATTTTTTTTCAAATTCTGTAGTTTATTTTTTCATATTAATCACCCTACATTGGATATTTTGTTATTTTGTTGTAGGTTGCACAAAGCAGCTGTTGTTTGTTAGTTTTTGCATGTGAGCAATTCCAGCGTAATGCAATGCTCGTGACATAGCTATTTAGTGTTCATAAACCTGAAAACGTATTTTCAAATCTTACATCCATCATTACAGACTATGGGTTTTGAATCATTTCTCTAAAACACAAATTAGATACATGTATCATGGTTCATTTGCTCTGTCACAGATACACATTTACACTTCCTTTCATAAAGCTGGAACTGCCCATAGGCCTACACTAATTTTAGGAATAATGGAATGCACGTCACTTAACGAGTAATATTCTTGTAAATATTTTGGAGAGTTAACTGAAAGCAGGCTGACTACATGTAAAAGCAGGATGAAATATTATCCTCAAACTGAAAATATATTAAGCAGGACGGCCTGTTGTTATTAAACACGTTGTGTCTTAGTTTTTCTTTGAAAAAGATTTTTGGAGACGGAGACACGTTCATGATTTCTTTTTAACCAAGTTTCTCCCCCAGACTTTGAAAATAGAAGAGTGATTTTTCACTCTTGACGTCCTAATTTAAAAAAAAAAATCACTTAACGAGGACTTGGAAGCAACTGTAAAAGCATGATTTTTTTTTCTCAAATGATATTCTGTGTCAATCCGAGTACGGCGTCCATCTCATCTCATGATCTCTTCTTGATTGAAGATTATGATGAGGTTAATGTACTTTACATTGTACATGTACATGTACATTGTATTTGACATAAGTTCAGTGTGGGTGTGATATACATGTACATGTATATGCAAATCGTTTAAAGTGGAATTACAAATCTTTTAATTTTCAACGATACTTGTACTCACCTGTCACGCCGTTGAGTACTCTGGAGAACTCATAAAAAATAATTAATTTCAGGGGAAGGGTTATAATTATTTTTATACTGGTTCCTGTTAAATTCGAACCCAGGGTCGATGATGTAGGGACTGGGAGCCAGTCTAGGGGAAGGGTATGGTGTCCGTGGAGCTACAGAGGGCGGTGTGTCTCGCGCGTGGTTGCAGACCAGTAAATAAGCTGCTATAGACCCCTGTGATAAATCCCCCACTTTCAAAAATCAGGAAAATACTCACAACTCTCCCAAGGTGTTAGAGGCACACATCAAAATGAAAGCTTATTTCCTCATCTTTTATTTTCTGTTTTATTTTTTATTTTTCGGGGCAATCTGATGACTTGTGAAAGAAAATTTCCAGCCACTTGAAGATGATCAACGCTATAGTAGAAGTAATCCTGAAGCCAATCACCTTTTGAAAAAAAAATAATACCTATACATTCCATTGCAAACTAGAGTAATTATCCCATTTGCATCCAAATTTCACAGAAATACCAGCTCGCAGTCCTGTTCACGGCTTCCACCTTCTTATTTTACAGACCCTTAAGTTCATGATCGACCGGCCCACAACACGCAAATCGAGATTGGGCCGGTGTCATATGAAAATCGGACTCGTATGAAAATCGGACTCTTTTTCCCTTTTATTGGTTAAACCCTCTCACGTGACCGGTCCCTCTCCTAATTATCTATGCATGAGCATGCGCAATACCACCAATGAGTCCGTATTTCATAAAACCTAAATTCATGCTACACTGGCGTAAGCAACTTTGAGCCCACTTACTGGCCTGCACCCCGAAGGGATGTACAGTACATATTCCATGATACATGTGATAGATTGCGTGCGCGTTCCTTTACGCTAGCGCAATGTATGTTGGGAAACAGCTATGGGGTAGCAAGATCGCATCGCTCGGCGGTTGGTTTTGCTCACTGATCTCTAAGGCCCAAAAAAAAAAGTCTCCGGTTTCTGGTATGGAGCTTGCCCCAAAAGTGGTGCGGCGACGCGGCTTTTTTTTTTTTTTACCTGGTTTTTTTTTTTTTTTTTTGGCTTCAAATGTCGGCTGATGACTGTAAATGGTGCCCGACTAAACTTAGTGCAAATATATGGGAGTCCAGAGAGGCCACATAAATCTTATTCTCGATCATAACCCCATCTAAAAATACGTTAAAATCGTGCAGCAGCAGAATTCCAGTCAAACCAGTGAGTTTGGCGGTTTTGAAACATCATCTTGTATTGAAAAAAAAACTTTTTCATTTTGCCGACGCGCATGGCTACGGCGACTCGCGCGCATACCAGAAACCGGAGACTTTTTTTTTTGGGCCTAAATATCAGTAGTTTTGCTGTGTTGCCACAACATAGACAGTCAACATTGACGTGCACGTTTTCAAATTGATGAATGCTTACAATCATGTTCTGATTTAAGATTTACAAGTTTTCACCACTGAGTACATGACACATCTTTCATTAGTTGTGTGTCTCATTTGCTTGTACTTCTCACTTCATGTCATTAATGACGTTATGGTTATCTTTACGAACACGGACAGTCATTTATTTCCTTACCACAGTAATTAAAGTGGCTTAAACATCAATGACATCTTGAACGAAGTGATTTGTCTCCTTTTCATTTTCAGATAATATCACTGGAGAAATGACGTGCGGAGATATGAAGTTACCCATTTTCTACCCATGACATGAAGAAGGTAATTAAGTAAACCACGAATAACGTTCTGTAGCGCCTAATGGCGGCCCTAGCAGCTAAGTAAACGATTTTCCGTCACTGACACGTCGTTGTCTATATTTCAGGTAATTCTTAACCATAAAAACAAACTCAGCCAACAAGTGTGAAACGATCAGCACGTCTTATAGCCTTGAAAATATGCGCTGGCATTAAGGTACAGTCTGCCAACAGGGGGCGCTGTATACTGATCAGGCTGAAAAACGTGTACGTAGGTTTTACGTCTGTTCTCGCCATTTTCCTCTGTCGTTATTGGCTTTCTCCCTTTCCATAAACCCTCGAAGAAAATATATTGATGCGGGGCCGGAGAGCATTTTCTCCCCGTCCCCGAGGGTTGTCGCTCTCATCCACAACCAAAAGAGCAATGCTTATCGTCATAGGCATACAGAGATCGTGAGTTCGATAAGATAACTGCTGACAAATAGAGACCAGCGTCAATGCTGACGCAGTTACCGGCGAATTACGTATAGAATTCGCCGAGTCTGAAAGCGTTCTTTCACCTCGGATTGCACATTCACTCAGGTCAATATTACCTTAACCTATACAGCTCTTGAAAACTGTCTTTTGGAAAAGCTATTGACAGCGGAATGAAATCAAGCATCAATAATTATGAGCAAGAAAAAATCAATGGCAATATTTTGTGGCAAGTTTGCATGGGACCTTACTCTGAAGCGGACCTGTGGGATATATTGCTTCTCTTTGCAGGCTGAAAAAGGGGGACACGCAAAACAACAATAACACTTCTGAATTCGGGCATAGTGCCGTCTGCTAGGGTTGTGCAACGCTGACTTCGTCTCGCGGTCAATTTCAAAATACATACATTGACGGCACTCCACGCATCTCCACGGGGAGTTAGGGGACTTAAACGCGCATATCAAAGCACCTGCAAATAAGCCCAAGTCTCGGAGTGTATAGTGTTCCACTCCGGATTTGTGTCCCGGGCCCGATTTCCACCCACGGGACCCCGTTGGAAATATCAAAGTGGCCACTTTGAATTTCATAGGGGCTTTTCCCGCGTCGCCAGCGCAAGTTGAGCATGCACACACAGCGGCGACAATAAGAATCATGATGCCGATTGCTTGCCCAGCGGCCGGGCCAGGCATTCCGCGGGCAGAGCACTAGCAAGCCGGTGATCATGTTTTTAGTGCAGTGTTCGTCACACCTCTTCAATCTCGGGACCTCTAGGTGACAGATTCCAGATGGATTGGAGGATTGGAGTACAGATAACATCAGAAGAGAGCATATTTATACACAAAGAAAAGTGCATAAACTGCACCCAACAACATAATACCAACATGTTGTATGATCCTTGTCTTATTTCCTTTTGGTAAGTTTTTAGTCTAAAATCATCAGTATTCGAGTGTTCCTAAAAACCCTTATGGAATAACTTTTAAAAAGCTAATATGACACCAAAACTATAACAGGTAGATTTAATTTAGAAGAATGTCAAAATAAAAAAAATGAACATGTACATAAAGTTGACTAACAAACCTTTGATTTTGTACCATGCAATGAAATTAATTCGGGACTGCAAAATGTGCAAAGGAAGCCTCTGTAAATATGCCTCAATGTGGTCATCAATGCTTATAGAAGAAATGCCCCCAGACTGTTGTCGACTGCTCATTCTAATGAGGTCTTAAGAAACTTTCCCCCAAAGTACCGCCGAAAGCCAGAGTAAGTAACTTCTTTAAGATAAAAGCTTACAGCATTGCAAGTCGGTTCGATACACCGGCCTTTATGTAGGGTCAAAACACCCCGGAGATATGGGAGCAACCACTAAACATTAATGATCTGCATATACCGGGCAAACACTCTCTTCGCCCGGTCTCCGTTCCCGCAAGCACCGTGCTGATTGACGAAATAACCTCTCCGTCCCCGGGGCTGAGCGTGTGCCAATCCCATCCAGACCACCCGTTCACGGAACTTTTCCCTCTCGCGTGAATCTAACCAGGAAATCTGATTAAAATCGGGCAATTTAACGGCAAGGACCGGAGCGAGTCGACCCCACGGGCGCGTTGCCGACTTCTTCCCCGGTCTCATGCATATTATTATGCGTTTTCTACTTAAAATCCGACTTTCTTGCCGTTTTCCCTGCGGCACGGAGTTGCATATCTTCGAGTGCAAGTCGTGGTGTCTCAATGACGAACATAGGAACTTGGACTTTTTTTATCATGAATATCTCAACGTCAGGGATTAAGATTGTTGTGATTGCTAACCGAAAGGAAATTGACACGCACGATCTCCTGCGAAGCTTATCTATATGTATCTATCTTTCTTTGCACGGAATCGACGTATTGAAGGAAAGTGCCGCAGTTTCAAAATGATGCAAAAGAAACAATCTTTAGCGTCGTTACGTTGTAGCTTGAAGCTACGTAAGAACACATTGCAATGGCAGTGTACAAAAATTCTCATTCATTCCAAAACCGCGGTAAAGGGCCATAAGTGACAGGAATCGGCACCAGATTTTCGCCCAATGTAGTTGAGCTTTTGTGCATCCCAAAAACTAGCCAGATCGGTGCGTTATTTATTTTGGTATGACGTCTTGGTGACGTCACGTACGACCCCGAGACTGCGTTTAGTCTATACAATAAGGAAACATCTACGTACCATATAGCAGTGTGGCGTAGTCGTACTCGATCGAGTACATTTTTGGTACTCGTACTCATGAGAATGTACTCACACTCGTACTCGCAAGAAAACAAATTCCCATTCTCGTACTCGTGACAACGTATTCATACTCATACTCGTACTAATGGCAAAGTACTCTTACTCGTACTCATAGAGATGCACTCGATTGCAACACTGCCATACAGTTCAACGAAAACCCAAAAGAGCTAAAAGTAGTTAAGAGACGCATACCAACATCAATATTCTATCTGGCGTTAAAGATGATTTCGGCGTGAGCAGATTGATCATTCATTAGCTGTGGTTTTCAGAAGTGACTAAATTAAAGATCTCCGTGTAAAAGTTACCCGATATACAGTTAGATACAGTACACTGATTAAAAGGTCTGTTTAAACTTGTAAATATTCGCAAGAGTAGAGTACCGGTATAACTCCCAAATCGACTAAATATCAAAATTGCTTGCATGTCTTGCAGAACCGGCTGCGCTTATCAGCTGTCTGGATTTTCGCTGTCGTGGTTCTTACCATGCCCTGCTGATTCGTAATGTATACAGCCTTTAGACCCCGCGGCCCATAATCGTCGATATTTCATCCCAGCCCGCAAGGAAACCGCTTCGATTTCTTCACGATTTCCTGACACGTTGATTACAGCTAGGCAAAAATGAGTGGGAATCCGTCCGTCAAAACATCGCGATCTCGCCTGACCTTTTCTAGCCTGTCGAGTTGGACCAAGTACGGCCTCGATTTGTGCAGTGCGCAGCGCCCGATGTACATCACACAAGTCATCTGAGTCGATTGGAACTTCTCACAACAACCAAAGTAACTACACACTGTATACACTGCAACCAAGAGGGGCATGCGTCACAAAATATGCAACATAAGTCCTAAGAATTTGCACTCTATACCTGTTATTTAAAAAAATATATAACCTGCCCGGCAGAAGGGCATACGAGCCTTCTGACGCAAAAATCATTTTCAAGAAAATTGCATTGAAAGGTTCTAATGTTTCCCCACGCGTATAATGAATCCAATGTTCTCCCACGCGTAACATAAATCGTACGAATTTGAAATTTGTCACACGTATAAATCATAAGTTTTGGAACAACTTGTATTAATTTCTGACGATTTTTTTCTAAATTTCATGAAAAAAGAGGCAGTTTTCTGTATATGCCCTTTTGCTGGGAACATTTTGGTGATAACGCGCTATTGCATAAGGGCATATGCACATATGCCCTTATGCCTGGCACACGACGTACAACAACGCGACGTGTGGCCTTACTCGGACAAAAAGGTGGAGAGTTTAACAGCAAGGAGTTGGGCACAGCACTATGTTACGTCACTAGGTGGTACTTTTCATGAAAGAAACTCATTTTGTACGTAGAGGGGTTTTGTGGTTCTCTTTTAACTTAACGTCATTTTTATAATGTACCAATGTCCATGAATGTTACCTACGGAATGTTACCCGCACATGTCCATTCAGTGGGCAAGAAGAAAATAACCAAGTGACAAAAAATATGATGACACTCTTTCAAAAAAAATCGACTTTTGACGCACTCAAAAAGTGAATGCATCGAGAACCACTCGCACTGAAAAAGTCTGTTTCTTGAGCCCTCGTTCAAGTCCAACCAACGGTGACCGGTAAGCCAAGCATCGCGAGCACGGTCGCGGCTGGCTGAGAATTGCCTCCGTGCAATGCTGCCTTGTACTCCTTATAAAAAGTAACACTGGAGACTGAATGTATAAACTACGTATACACACACGACTCGGTTACTGACTACTGAAGGAGTTGCGGGCTAAATGCCATTCGCTCTCCATTCATGAAAAAATATCGGAGCCATGAGAATGTCTATAGTCTGTGGTCAATTTTTCATGTACTTGACAAAGGGACCCAAGAGCATGCACTTCTTGATTCATATTGCGAGCGGATGTTTGTTCAGCGAAAAGCCTGCAAATATAGTGCTGATGTAGGCCTATTTATGAACAACATGTCGATGCAATGCAATTTATTATAAAGTTCCACAATACTTTTTAAAGACGAATTATATAAAGCGCCAATAGTTAAAGTGTTTTGAGCCACCTTTTAGACTGCTGCAAAACGTATTCCGCAGTTAAGGCTTCCACCCAAACTTAATAATGTTATGGAAGTTGAAATGGCCCCATTTTTGGGGTTACTTATCAATTATTCTACCAGTTTCTAGATATACTGACAGGTAATGATAACAAGTTGGTTTAAAACTGGAGTAGAAAGAGACTACAACGAAATGGTGTCGATGAAAATTGCATAATGGCTTGTGAGCAATGTACTGTTACCAACTCAAACCCAAACATCTCAGTTTACATGTTGCAGTACAGTACATACACACCTATTTAGGTCAAATTACTTCTCTCATCTTATTCACCATCCTCGTTAACAACACCCGACGGCAGCATCCGCCAAAATCAGCCCCGACATCAAAACCCCCAGGCTTGCAGGCCGAGTATTTGATCAGCGTGCTCGACGAGCGATCACAACGGTGGGCGAGTCCCCCGCATGATATAGAACAAACTCCGCTCGATCGATCCTAGCCAGGCATGTTTAGGGATGGCTCACCTGTATACTGTACATGTACATCTATTAGGACGGCCGGCCCGGAGTTCCTATCGACAACTTGCCTCTCAACGGCTACTAATCACTGTCACATTGAAGTATACGCGTTTAACAGGTCAAGCAAAAACCAAACACTGAGCGCGGGAAAACGAAGTGCCCGACCGACGAGTGACAGCACATGGAAACGGCTTACTTGCCCGAGTTATTCGGACGAAAAAAAAACACGTTACGACTGCTAACAGCGGGGATAAACAGACCATGGGCGTTTAAGAACAATAACATTTTGGGCACGATTCCATTCGTTATTGCTGTTTTATTTGGTAACACTAGACGAGAGCTTACAAAATTCAGAAGACAAAACGACTGTGATTGAAATAGACCATGCAGAAATACCTTATCCAAAAAGCACGGGTAGTATAAAGTCCATCCGACGATATCAACTCAAGATTTGCTAGTTTTCTTATTGAAAATTCTCATTACAAAGATATACTTAGTCTATACCAAAAGACATTTTGAATTTATCTACGACTAGAAAGCACTTAGAGAGCGCAAACCTCCTCCAAGGCTAGACAATAATTGCGTGCCATATTGTCAGTACCCCCAAAAGAAATACTCGCATAAATGGTGAAGAATCCTTAAAAAAATCCTGGATCCAGACCCAGATCCGGATCACTTCCAAAATCTAATCGATTTGCAAATTGTACTTGTACCAAGGATCACCCCTAAAAATGTTCATGCAAATCCGTCCATAACTTTTTGAGCTATCTTGTTAACAGACAAACCGACCAACCAACCAATCAACAAAATCCGATGAAAACATAACTCCTTGGCGGAGGTAATAAAACGGTACCATTGAGAAAATTCACGTTGTTTGCGAAATGTAGATACTGGCAAACTTTTGGAGATTTTCCTCGAATGTGCGTTGACATACTATTGTCTAGCTGACAATAACGGAACATGTTTTGAAGGTTCGAAAAGGTTTTACTTTATCGCATGTTGTTCTTAGTGGGTCTGTACCCTGTTTGTTAAAAATGTAAGTGCACAACTGTACCATGAAAATAGGTTTTCTCCGACTAATGAACAAGTGGCGTTTTTCTTCAATCGGCAAATTCATTTCCGGTCGTCAGGACTCACCAACAAAAAGGCTGGTATGAGAAGATATTCAAAACATCAAAACTCTCTGAAAAAAAAAATAACGCGGTTTCGCACTGTTCTAAATCCCGACGGTTCAAAATATCACAGTGCAGTCTATACTCTACTTTAAAACTGTAATTGGTACGATGTTCTTATTTGTATGGCGCCATGTTCCCAATCACGTTCTGGAAGTCAGACGATAATATGCATATAATAGATGAGGCGGACAACTTTGACAGTTGCACTGACAGTGATGCTCCGAGCCTGCCAACCTGACCGCTGAAGGTGTTATAGCCCCCGAACCTAATCCCCTCTTAAGAAAACAGACAGAACTTTAGATTTCAAAGCTCTACCTGCCCATGGGAATTCACATTGCACTTAGACTACATAATCAGCCCCCCAAAAAATACCTCAAAAAGTAAGCTACACGGTGGTGCAAAAAGAAGGAAACCCACTTTTGACAGGAATTTTAACCGATACTTACTTACCTGAACTGTTTTTATATAATGTAGTGAAGTATAGCTCTTCAACCATACATGATGAAAAAATAAATCAACAAAAAAATGCGCAATATTATGCTAATTTTAATACAAGTCACCAAAATCACTGTTGTCTACGCGTATAAGTCTGGTGTAGTGTTTTTGTCTTCACAGTCAAGCGGATGGAATAAAGCCATCCGTGGACAAACAGGTTTGGCACATGAAATGTTTTAACTACCATATCTCAGACTCAGAGACAAAATATGCATTTGCAATCATTTTTGTCGTCACTCATGTTTAAAGATCAATATTTCAAAACCATTAAATTGAATTTTTCAAATATGCTCAACAAGCAGGTGAAAATTGCTGTCAAAAGTGGGTTTCCTTCTTTTTGCACCATCCTGTATAACACTGTAAAATGCGTAATACTGGAGCATATACCATTGTGGGTTCCCACTGTGATGATTATTCAATGTGCTGCCGACTCCTGAATTTTACTTGAACTACAAGTGGTGTGATCAGTTAGTGAGATTACTTGACAGTAACATTATCCTCTTGTGTAAAACGAGCAGCCTGTCGCATATGAGGTAAGCCGAGACATTCTACAAGACGTTATTATCGCATTAGACGCTGTTACCGGGAGCGGTTGGACGAGCAAGTAGATATTTATGCGAGAGGAAAAATGTCTGTGACATTCAAGCTGATTCGGCAGTGTGGATTACTAAGATAAAAGCCATGTCTTCGCTCGTTAATTGTCTTTTCGGTATGAATTCGGCAAATTCAAGCTGCATTATGGAACGAAATGTAACATATGTTAAATCGCATAATGACAAGTGCTTGTTTGTTATGAGGCAATAAAATGCTTGTTATGACGAACACTCCCTCATGCTTGTGCCGGCAATGAAATATCATTGCTTTTTGGTTTTCAATAAAATACATGAAATGGTTTTGGCATGCATAATTTATTATAAATTCAGTTCCGTAAAACAAAATGCGGATAAACAGCAAAATAATAGAGCCGATGCTGTATTAAACTACATAGAACAATGATCATCATGCATAAGTGCATTTTGCCGAATATGCCCAAGACAAGAGGGTCATAGCACAATAATGTGTCATTTGTTTTGTGTGCTGTTTACGTGTGATAGGCCTATACCTGATCCCGTTTTGGACGCGATGCCTCTACCATGCAGCATTCAATACTTACGATTAGATATTAAGGGGAAAATTCGCAGATGGTCATTAAAATCCCTACGCAAGATCCTAAGCACAGTTCAACTGCCTTGAAGAAATTGATCTGTTCCATTCAGTAGTAATAACGTCAAGAGTTATTCCTCGTGTACAGTGGTTACCAGTGAGTGTTTTTTATTTACCCTAAAAATGTTTTTTTTTTTTGGGGGGGGGGGGGGGGGAGACTATTAGGCAGCTTTCCTGTACTGTATTAAACGATTAAAGGTGCACTCGACAGTTGTCATTATTCCATGAAGTATAGTTAAGATTCAATGGCTTGGCTGATTTTCAGGATCAGAAAATGAAACATTACTGTTGGTTAGTAGCATAGCCATGTACGCATAAAATAAATAGCAAATAAAAACGGGTTGTTGTATATCGACCTCAGCTACCACAGCTGTTGGTAGCTCCTTCATCCACAGCTGATATGGCTGACTAGACCCAACGACTAAAGCTTGTTATTCTGCTACTACTCGTTATCAAAGCCCCATACATATTTATTTCCATGCAGAAGTTGTTTTATTACACGTCATAGCAACTTGTTGCAGATGACTATTTCATGTCAAGTGTGATCGTTTCCTGGACAGATGACTGCTAATCAATCATGTAATACACGATACAAAAGATATGGGAATGATGACAACATGATGACTTTGGTATATAACTCACTTTATTGGGGCTAAATATACAGAAAATGTGTAAATAAACAAAGGCCACTATTTGGTCGACGGAAATATAATAGTCCAAGCTTGATGAGAGCTGTTGGACTTTTTCCAACTGTTTACAAACTACGCTGTAGCAAGCTAGGACAGAAGATTGACATTTTTTTAAGACGCTTTAAGGAAAAAGGTATCATTAACTTGTTACTTTGACATCGAGTCATGTGATTGGATTTACTTTGACATCGAGTCATGTGATTGGATTTCCTTTAAGTCAATGTAACGCAGATCATATGGAATCAGAGGATTGTTTGATAATTTTGGGGAACCAGGGTTTAAATGTATTAGGATTTGTTTAAGCAAAGAAAAACTAATGTTAAGTGTCATTGAATTTACTCGGACTTGAACCGGACTTTAGACCAAAGGTTGACCCTGAGTTGGCTCGAAGTCGGATCAAGTTGGAACAGCTATACAAGAACCCTTTGTAGATCATTTTAATTCATATTTTGTCTTAGTCCACTTGTTTTTGTTTTTTACTGTAAGCAAAATAATAAGAGCCATTTGGAAGGGATGTCAGGTACAAGACAAGATTTATAGCAAGGAAATTGTGAGCACGCGACATATACAAGGGCGGATCCAGGGGGGGCCAAAGGGGGCCATGCCCCCCCCCCCCCCCAAACGAGACCAATTTTTTTTTTTTATGTGACATCGCAATAAAGGCTGGCAATGAGTACACCACCATCTTTTCCTCAAAAAAACATTGGTTAAAGTGGTCAGAAATTGCCTCAGATCGCACCACAGAGCATCTAGAATCCAAAAAAAATTTCGGGGCCCTTAAGCGGGCCCCGAACCCCACGCCCTAATTTTTTTGACCCACTTTTTTGGGGGTCCAAACTTTTTTTGGCCCCCCCTAAAATTGTGTTCTGGGTCCGCCCTTGGACATATAGAATATAGGAATGACACATCCGTGGGACAGCTCATGTGAGTGGATCCCACGAAATAGACTTCAGTGGTATTTTTTCACTTACCAGGTTTGTATTCACATACAGTGCATGCATAGCTCGTGTTCTTTCTGTTATTCATCGAGACATCATTACTCAGTCTTACTGTGTAGTGTGAATGTAAATGTTGACTGTTATCACTTGTTTAACACCGGATTTGAAACGGGCCTTTGAATCTAAAGCAGCTCTGGCAACTTGTGCCTCATTTTGCTAGATTGTGTCACAGTGATTATGGCGTGAAGGCAAAACGCTCACTTTTGTTGGGTAGCTCGTCCCGGGCCCGATGAGATCTTGATGACAACTTTATCTGCACCGTCAGGGGCCCGACACGAGGGCTATACACGGATATGAAGCCTTGTCGTGCCCTGGTTAACAGACATATAAAATGGGAAAGCGTTGGAATTGACGCCAAACGAACCACTTGAACAAAATGATTGTACAAATTCTTTCTTCTTTCAAGTTACGGTTTGCATGCTTTGTGAATTTCGATCATTTTGATTTGAACAATTTACGATGGATGCAATCATCAATACAATTCACAAGTCACATTCCTTGGGGTTTGGTGGAGATTTCATTTTGCAGTGTCCGGGGATTTTCTTCATTCTAATGCCAGTAATGCGAAAATGTCAAAATATCAGATATGCTTACTGTAATCTGGCATGACATACGGTAGTTAGCAGACATGATTTCCCAAAGCGCAAAAACTGCACCCAAGACGAATACAAATGGCGCGAAATGCCACTGATGAATGGCAGTTTTATGACAGGTGCAACACAGCCAAAGGCAAAACAAGAAAGGATTTTATGTAAGTTCTCGTAAATCATACACGAAACGGTCGTCGGGATCAGACAACAGGGACACGCACGCTCCCCACCACTGAATAAAAGAAGCTGATTCTTTCACGGGCTGAATAGTGTTGATATGGAAGTGACGACTGACTGCACGCTATACACGCACTCGCACAGTTTATGAATTGACGTTGGCATATTTCATACATACGACAAAACATGGCACTAACAGTTATACGTTAGTGTCTGACCAGTTTGCTAGTGTTTACTATCGTTTTCAGTTTCAACTTGGTTTGACGATTAGCAGCATTCATTGAACCACGCGACTTCAGGCCTACCGTACTTCATTCGCAGAACGGGTCGAGGGCAAATCGGGTCGAGTTCACGGCAGCACAGTCAACGCACCTCGACTGTAAGACCGATCACTTCGTCAGTCACTTGTGACAGTCCAAAGCCAGGTGAGTTCACAGATTTACTCTTTGCGTAAGATCTGGATTTACTAACTAAAACTGTGATTTTTCTGGTGAAACACTAGTGAAATGTAACTGCTTGCATCTGTGATGTGTTACTGGCATACCTACACGCCATAAACGGTCAGAATGGCAAAATCCGGGGGGAAAAACAACTCTCGTAAAGCATAACTATCCTAACACGTGGCGCAAACAAAAGTTAAAGTAAAAGTGAAAATTGAATCAATATGCCTTGTATGTGTGTTGATTATTATGTGTAACTGTACCTAATACAGAGGACATCAAAAATACGCTTTTGGGCGTATTTGACACAACCTCAACTAAATTGGTCTCGTATACAGTTAGGTTGTGTCATGCGTTTATGACACAGGTGGGTTGTTACTGTTAGTATGGGCATGAGATATTTCCTGATTTTCTTACAAAGTTCATGCACAATTGAGACCTGCTCCCACATTCTTGGTGATCTTGGTGTCCACTAAAGAACATCACCCTATTGCCCATTTCATTCCATATACGAGAAAGTACTTCTAAATGGATCATTCGGTGACAGACTAAATATGAAGTAGGGCTTTTGGAATGTCCCTGTTTCCAACTCGGACCCGTTCTTCATTGTGGACATTGTATAAAGCACGTACCGACATGACCCACTTATAACACTCATTCGTATAAATGGTGGTATGTATTCCTGATTTGAAGGCAGATCACGAATTCTGGCGACGCGCGTTAAGTGTTTGTTTTCCCGGCGTCATTTTTCACTCGGGTAGAAAGAGCAAGTGGGGCTCGACACATAATACTCCTTGGCCGTATAACTCACACCGCGCATATTTTTTTGGCCCACCTTCTTTTAACCTCACATCAAAAAAAAAATGAACATGAGTATTTGATTCTGGAAGTAGATGCCATTAGTACTGAAATTCAAGTAGTGAGATTCGAAGTGACGTCCGCGCGTGCATTTCGGGCCACTTTCATATACGGTTTGGTTTACTCGCAGTATTCACTCCGCTCTCCCGAGCGTCAATCAGCCAATTTAGTTTATGTATTTTATAACAGCAGCGATGGAGTATCAGATAGTGTTTACACTTAACCCATTTTCATTCTATAGACGGTGTATATATTCAAGTTGCAATTGGATACGCGGTGAGTTGGTGTGTCATTAGGATGGCGGATAAATATTTAGTTTGTACAGTCAGTGTATATACACTGAATAGACTGAAATGTTTACGTCAGACAAGAGGCAAAACCAAAGTTTTCAAATTGAATTCCGTGCAGCCACAAAGATATTTGTCGAGTGATTACTGAGGAATGTTTTGATGAGTGATAGATCCCACTTATCAGAGAGAGATAAATTTACGGCTTTAATGCTTAGTAAAATGTTTGAATTGACATGAAGCCTAAATAATGTTTTAAGTTAAACCGATATCTTGAAATATTTGCCAATGAGGGAGACATTAAACGAAACACTTGAATGAGAATGGGAAGGTGATCAGGTGTTATGAGCCAAGCAAAATGCTGCAGTTAAAACCTTCATTTTCTGTGATGAACCTGTTGAGCATCTCTATGCACCACCCAGCACGAGATATAGGGCTTGGGAGGCGCTTCCAAACCCATTCGTTATGGGGCGCTCATCCGTGATTTCCATTGGCATTCAGTCGTCATAAAAACTGAAATTGTTGTTTTGCTGAACTTGCACCGAAAATCTGCTGCTTGTTCAAATTCACTAGCCGGTTCACCTATGAAGTTTTACCCTACAAACAATGAGCAATAATATAACCGTGTCGGAAAGCTTTTCCTCATACTAGTTTCCAAACAACTATAGAAAGCTCTTTCCGTGTGGATGGCAAGTTTATTGAAGTTAAACATTGCTGTCAAAGTTTACTTCCAAATTCTGTACTCTAAAATTCTGTACCTCATACTCGGCAGTTTTAGCATACCATTCCCAGTCATTGACGTTATGGGATAGTTGACACCCAAGGGCAAAGCGATTTTATTTTTCAACAGCAAGCGCAGATTACAATTCATAACACAATAGACCACAAAAACTCTCAATAGGCCTACCATACCGGTTCCGCAAGAAAAAAAATCCTTTTATACTTGCACTGCCGTGGCTGTGTTATGAAGGTGTTTATGAGTCATTGGGCGTTTACCATATTTATGTATAGTGAAGCCAATGTGTAGAAATGTCTCATTATTTTGGGATTAGTTTGTTAATGGGTGGATTATGTGTGGGGAAATCGTGTGTAAAGAATAACAACTCATTTGTCGCTGTGAAAACACACTTCAAGGTGGCGTCGGTAATTGGCTAACATATTGAGATCCCGGAGACACAGTCACAATGTCAGCCAATTTGCTGCTACAGATGTTGTGAGCTGTAATGCCTCATTTGCTGCATTGTGTGTGAATGACCAAGGATTGTATTTAGTGCAGTTCAGGAGCGAAAACCTTTTATAGAGCGACGATCCGTCTTTGTTAAAGTTCAGTGGTAAATAATGCAATAATAGACCTTTGATATCAAATTTGATCATTAATATTCACTTTGAATTGAAATATCTGAATATATCAAATATCTTTATCGACCTTAATCCATGCGTATAGGCCTATTACCGGTACCCTTTCCACAAATGTTACTCGACACGTTTGGAAAGAATTTTAGAACCGTACATGTAGGCCTGTCCATTACATTATCAGAAAATGACAAATATCCTGAGAAAACAAGGTAATGCGAGTGTGTATGTTGCTGAGTATCCTGGGGGTTTTTTCATCGAGAACGTTTTCATCATTTCATACAGTTGTCACTTTGAATAAGAATCAAATTTACTCGCATGATTCTGGTCGATTGGAAAAGTATATCCACTATCCAGTGTCAAGGCCGCCATAATTCACTGGTCCCACACTCTTACGGCGTTAGTAAACCGCGTGGTCAGTGTAACAAAACAAAATGTCACCGTGACCGGACACCTGTATTCGTGGTGCGTGCGACCGCGAGCAATTTAATCAGAAATGATTAGTCGAGCATATTATATTTACGTGCAGACGGACATGCTGTCAGAAAACGCGCCAAACACCTGGGAAAGGTGAAGATTCGCTGGGGACATGTAACAGTATGAACAGACAGTAGCGGGTGATATAAAAGAATGCTCTCTCGTCTGCATGGCGTAGTTTCCCCTGAAGGCGGGAAAAAAATTGTCACAAAAATATAACGTGCCTGCATGATATTGTGGTTGTCTGGAAGCCTTACTTTGAATCTCGTCTCGCGGTTGTCATGACAACGTGTTCATTTTATTCACAGTTTGTTCAAAATACCTCGTTACAGTCAAAAGATTGAAAGTGTTAATCAAAGTAACAAAAAGCACAGTAAAATCGAAACAATCTCATTCACAACTTCAATTTTAAGCCACAAAGGGTTCGGAGAATTTCGTTTAGCGGACAAGACACAGTAACAGACTGGTCAACAAGGAATAACGTTTTGAAGGGGCAGGACAAATCAACTGCATGAAATTTCACAGATTTAAATAACAAAATAATCTTCAACTATTTTTTAATGCAATGCATAAGTTAAGAGGACGAGGAATTTAAATGTCAGTACCAAAAATTAAATGCATAAATCTTGCAACCTTTTGCCTTTTATATATCTGAATATCTTTATGGCCCGTATAGGCTAAATCTGCCATGCACGGTGTACAACGAAAAGCATTTGTATATATCTGAATATCTTTATGGCCCGTGTAGGCTAAATCTGCCATGCACGATGTACAACGAAAAGCATTTGTTTAGAACCAGTTGTGTCAGCTAATATAACACATGGGTATGCCACTATTAAAATTGGTCCGTATACGTCAAGAACTACTTTGAATTATATTTTCCAAGTAGTCCTGTTTAAGAAAAAATATGGCCCCTCTAAATGACAAAAGAAAGGCTTGTCGTCCAAGAAATGGATGGCCCTGACCATATCAACACACTTCACACCTCGCCCGGTTCTGGCGTTTACACCAAGCCTTATTTTTTTGTAATTGAGTGACCGTGAACCAACAGACCATGTCGTCACACTTCTGAGATACCTTGATATGATATTTCAAACAGACAGTTACACGTATACACCCGTCCGTGGGAAATCAGGTCTGGTGGGGATGACGGTAAACACGTGTACGAGGCTATATGGATTCCTTCGTGCTCAATTATATACCGTACGCATCACTAAGGCGTAAACCCAACGTGTCACATACAAGGTGGCACTTGCAAGTGTTGAAACCCGACTGCGAAATCACATCTCCGCTATGGAAAAGTTTCAAGGAAAATCTCCCTGTGTGTTATTAAGACTTCCCATGTTCTTAGTGAGGTTATTAAATATGTTCAAGGTGTCAGTGTTTTCCCGGAAGTAGATTTTAGGAGCGGTGTAGTTCGTCCTCAGTCGAGAAAGTGGTAAGTGGGGGTTTGAAAGAAATTGCAGCTTTTTACCTTCAGTAGCTTGTTCTGTGTTGTGGTGACTTGTTAGGCGAATGACACGAAGCTTTATTTCCATGAGTGTTACTTTGTATTTCTTTTTCCTATTTTTAACTCAGTGTTGAAGATTTTGCAGTGAAAGGTGATTTTCAGTTTTTCTAAACGATTTCCCCAAATGAGTTTGACTTAAGTAACACCCCTCTAAACCTCATGCTAATATTGGACCTTCTTCCAATTTCTGAACTTTGTGTGTGGCTCTCACAGTCTAGAATCGAATTCAAGTTGATTGCAAGTCAGTGCATTTGATTTTGTGCTCATCTGTCATTCGGTTTGGGTCTAGGCTCGCACCATCGATCGGAAACAGCTTGCAATGATGTTGCGTTGACAAGTGAGTCAACTGCAACCTTGTGATGTGTACGCCAGAGGACGGCTATTAATGCTTTAGCGATCGCAGCCGGGTCGATTTGCCGCGCGCACCGAGGCCGCGGTGAGAGAGCGCAGACTTTTTTGTGGTGGAGGCCCTAATAAACTCGCCTTGAACATGGCCACGG